TTTTCATCTCATTATTGGAGATACTAGCACCATGATGTAAGACAAATATTAGCTATTTATTAGTTATTCTAGAGGGGCCATACTATAAATTACATATATTACCAGTTGGACCACAGGGGGCCGGGCCTCCACCAAACCCCCTAGCTCCGCCCATGTGCATATATGTTTTGAACTAAATGTGCAAAAAATAAAAATTGTCTCAAATTCGATGTGCTTAAATTTCTAACAAATAATTTGTATATATAGTAATGAAAAACTTTAGCACATTTATCTATCCCGATCTTCTGATTTTGCATTTATGACAGGGGGTTAGGAAAGGCCGCCACGCGGTCTGGTCAATGACGGGTAAAAAGTCAATGATGAGATTTCGGCCTATGGTAGTACATTTTGCATTTAGATAGTAGTTTCTTACGACATATTTTATAGTAGGTAGTTTCTCACAAATTTATTAATAGGTAGTTTTTCACAAAAAAAATCCTAATAAAAATGATATACTACCTCCGGTCGAATTTACTCACAACAAAGGGGTATTATTTGTGAGACATAAAATATTCCTTTGTTGCGAGTAAATTAGACCAGAGGTAGTGTGATCATTTAGAGCTACAGTGTAATATATGTATATATATATATATATATATATATATATATATATATATATATATATATAATACATTTAATACCTTTTATTATTTGGTATTACTTAGCAGTGTAAGACAAAATCACGCGTAGATAGGTTGAATAAATGTTACTACAATGCAAATATGACAACCAAAATATGATTGGTTCATTTTTTCACATTATAACATGGACACAATTAGTCTTCTAATATCTACAATGCAAATATAATTTTCTAAATTTTAAACAAACATAAAATAAATATTTTTCAAGAAACTATAAAATAATACTCCGTAATATAAATTACATATTAAAATGAAATTAAAAATTTGATGGATTAAAAAATGTCGATAATACTATATTATTCCAAAAATTAAGTAATATAATTATTTAATTGGAGGAAAATATGTCAAATATGAAACACATAATCATTAAAACATTGTGGTTTTCATATTTCAAACAACTATTAAAACATTTTCAGCGTAAGGGATATATGTATATCTTTCCAAAAAAAAATATTTAAAAAAGTTTATTTGTTAGAGATTAGATATTTCCATCTTGCTTCTAAAAAAATGACTTTGCTTTTGGTTAAGCTTATAGATTTGGAAATTTTGACTTTTGCTACCTGTCAAACAAGTCGAATCCACTTTTGCTACCCATCAAAACTTTTATTTTATTTTACTACCTAACATATGCCCTTTTTTAAAATTTTGCTACCACTGAACGGAATCCGTTTATAATTCCGTTACCACCTTCATTACCACCTTCCGGCCGCCACTCCCTCCATTGCCACCGTACAAGCCTCCCTGTCAGCCACCAAAATTAAATCAACCACCCAAGAAACCAACCTTGCCCCTCCCGTTAGCCACCCAACTCCCTCCCCCGACCGGCGACCTGCGAACCCATCCCACCCCTTTTCCCCCACAAACGCAACCCAGCCCCCTCCCTTTTCCCCTGCTTCCCCGACCCTAGCCACCACACCGAAACCACAATCAAAGATCCGAATCGCCGCAACCACCACCACTACCACCACTCTTCTACAACACTTTGCTCCAAACCCTAACGAATCGACCTGCCTTAACCTTTTCGGCCACCCTAACCCCTAAACCACCACACCGCAACTTTTTTCGGCAAACTTAAATTGATTTCTGGACGAGGTTCGATGGACCTGCGATTTGCTCTGATTTCGGGAATTGATGTGGGTGGCAGCGATTGGTGGTTTGAGTATCGGTGGTTGGGAATTGATTTTGTGCGGGTTGAGTGAGGAGGTGGCTGCAGGGGTTGCGATTGCGGGCTGGTATTTGGAGAGGAGCTGCGCGTGGTGGCTGATTTGGTTGCGAGAACGGGGAAAGGGAAGGGGGGTGGGTTCGGTTGGCAGCGTAGGGGTGGGGGAAAGGGAGGGGGGTGGGTTCGCGCCGGCGTCGGCCGAATCTCTGGGCACCAGCCACCGGCAGGGGGGAGGGAAGGGGCGGCAGTTGAGGGGAGGGGTGGCAGGGGTGGGTGGTTTATTTTTTTGTTTATTTTTAATTTATAATTATTTTTTTTTTTTAAAAAAACTTAATGGAATTATTAACGGATCCGTTAAGTGGTAGAAAAATGTAAAAAAAGGGCATATGTTAGGTAATAAAATAAAATAAAAGTTTTGATGGTAGCAAAAGTGGATTCGACCTGTTTGACAGGTAGCAAAAGTCAAAATTTCCTACAGATTTTGTCTTAGTATTGAGGAAATAACTACGGAGTATTTGTTAGATATCAGATATATTTTAACACGTACTGAAGGATATAGTGTAAATCTGTAATAATTAAGATAAAATATGCTGTGAAAATAACTTTACTTAATTAAGAAAATAAGATCTTCTTACAAAACATATTTTAAGAAAATAAGATTCTATCCAAAAAAACTATTTGAGAACTATTTAAACAAATAATGGCTACTTAATCCGTGCAACGCACGGGACTAAACTAGTTTTAGATTAACTCAAAACTTCTCAATTCATAAATTGTTACCTTTGTTAAAACCTAGCTACTATTCAACAAGCAACCATATTACAATCTCTTACCCACAAAACCAAACAAATGTATCCCTTTGATTGAACAATGGAACACCGTCATCAACTTTCAACTTTGAAGCCTTACGATAACAATTACAAAGTTTGTTCCATGACCCTTGACCCCATTGAACGATTACCCTACTCGTCGAAAATTGATAGTCATGAGATCGGAGTCTCCCTTTTCTTTCACCATAAGCTTGAGATCCACCATCATTGTAGTGATCCAGAGTCCATTTACCAACAAGACCATAATATCTTGTGGACGGAACCAACCAACAAGTATCATAGGGCTAATTTTGTCATTACACCATGGAAGTCTGATATAATTGAGGGTTACGTTGCAAATGCCCTAATAACTTGTAAGAAGGATGATCTTCCGGCTTATGTGAGTCCCGGTGTTTTGAGATACGTGATTGCCAAGGTTTCCAAGTACCTTCGAGAAAATGTTACCTTTGACGATGATCTACCATGTTTTATGTACGAGTTGACGGGTATGGTTGATGTCTCTACCATCGTTGATGCTGACCAGTTATGATGGAGAAGTACGATGAAGGAATAAATCCATATTTTGAAATTTAAGTCCCAGTGCTTGTAATAATGCATCTAGCTAGGCAGCTAGCTTTGCAGGAAATCGGTCATGATCATTTAGGGTTCAAATTTAGGAATAAATAAATAAAACTTAGTTATCAGTCCTAGTAGTATGTAAATGTAACCATGCAAGTATTTCTTGTTTTGAAATTTCGTTAGCATTAATTTTCTATTGATGAATGTTGTTCGATCATGTAGTAGCTTGCATTAGTTATAGGAAATTTTGCAAAAAAACCACCTTTCAAGTTTTATTTTTATTTATTTATTTATTTATATTTATATTTATTTATTTATTTATTATTAATATTTTTTTTTTGCATATAACCACCTTTACAACCAATTTTTTTAATTTTGTTGCAAATTACCACTAATCATATAAATAATATATAAATCTAAACTTTTATCCAGGCCACGAGACAGAGACAGTTAGTGTTGTTCCAAGTAGGCAACAATTAAACTTTAATATGACATTTAGGATATATATATATATATAGACTTATTATATATATATATATTAGGATAGACTCGGCAGGATAAAAAAATTTATTTAAGAGTTCTATATTCAAGAAAATTTGGATAAAAATTTGGATTTAGAATTTTATTATCAATAAATACCAATAATTCTATACAAATAACGGCCGGATCTAGAAACGTAAAAAAGGAAAAAAAAACAAAAAATCAAATAGACTTGTGATTATACATACCCGTTCTCTTAACTCTTAACATTCAACCAATCTTTCCCTATATATTAAGAGAAAATGAAAAGAGTTCACAGTTTTAGACGACCGTTCTTTTTTGTTGTACATTATTAATACCCATAAACGGACAAGACTGTCAAGTGATTATTAATCCATGAATAGAAAATTCAAATAACATATACAATATATTTTAGATAAAATGTTTTATTTTAAAAATCGATAAATAACCCGGGCATCGCCCTGGGCACAAACTAGTTCCGTTTAAGGTAATTTTACCCATGCCATGTGGTCCAATCAGACCTTGACACGTGTCATACCCTGGTTGGTCCGAATTGGGCCAATCTCCTTCTGACACGTGTCCCTCCTAGAACTTGGGAGAAAAAGGCGGCATTCAATGGCCCAAATCCCGAGAATGCCGTAATTCGGCGCAGCCCAAAATGATTAGGTCAGAGTGACCTAATCAAGGGCGCATTTTTCAATGACTTTAAAAATAGGGAGATTTTTCCCATTTTTGTGGCATTTACAATTATTAGAGCACCCTACATTCTCTTACATCAGAGAATCACCTGATTTCGGAATCCGAGAAGATCTCACCTCTTTTTTCGCACTTTCTCCCGTTTATCTTCAAGTACTAACTTGATCGTCGGAGGTGGAGCTCCAACCACCCGGAGTCTCCATTGTTTTGCAGGTACAGGCCACGCGCAACTAGTCTTTGAGCTATAACTCTCCCGAGAGACAAAAACACCCAAAACAAGTTCCATGTAAAACAATTTATAAATTTGGCTAAAAAAGTGGTATCAAATCAACAAATCTTAAAAATAAAACTTCTCAATTCATAAATGGTTATCTTTGTTAAAACTTAGCTAATATATTCAACCAAACAACCATATTACAATCTCTAACCCACAAAATTAAACAGAAATAAAAGTAGCCTTAGATAGAGCAAGAAATTGATCAAATCAACAAATCTTAAAAATGATTGGCCATCATCAACCGTCAACTTTGAAGCCTTTCCATACCAATTACAAAGTTTGTTCCATAACCCTTGATCCCACTAAGAGCATGTTTGGTATGGGCTTTTTATGGGGTTAGTAACGGAATCGGGTTACCGTTTCCGTTAGAAGATGTTTGGTTAAAGAGTTAAGTAATAGAAACCGTTTCCTTCTTCTAACCCATTCCATTACTTTGTTTCCACTGTAAAACTTGGGGAAACAAATCTCGTTTCTTTCCTCTATCTATTCTCTCTCCTCTCATACAACAGATCTCCCCACAATCCTCAACTTTGATCGATCGAAGCCACAAATTCGCTGAAGAATTCTAAATTTCGTACTTCAAATTTCCAGAAATCAACAAACTCAAGGTTTGATCTCTCACTTTTTTGTTGAAGAACCCTAGTTTTTGAGTTGTGTTGAATTTATAAAAATTTTGTCTTATTGATTGCGTTTTGATTTTTCTACTGTATATTGAAAGATTGCTATTTAATTTGATTTTCGATCTATATTTTTTCTTTGTGTTGATTGCTATTTTCGATTTATGGTGTTAATTAATTTCTAGGGTTTTCTATCCTAATTTTTCAGTTTTATTTGAGTTTTATTTTCTCCTGCTTTTTGCTTCATGACATTATTGCTAACATGATATCAATTTCGATTTTATGAAATAATACTTACTGATGTTTTGTCATGCAAATTTCGATTTTATGCTATTATAATTTGCTATTATTATTTGGCTTCTTTTCCCCCAAATTTCAATTTTATGCTTAATAGTAATACTTACTGATGTTTTGATCTGCAAATCAGCTTTGTTTAGCAAATGTCAATGGTAAATAATCAGCTTTGTTTAGCGAAAATCAATGTTTTGAGGCAGATTGTTAATGTTGTTTGATTGCTATTGCTTTGCTGGTTTTTAAGGCATATTGGGTCTCTAATTCTTGTTACTTGATTGCTATTGTTTTGCTTATGGACAAATCGACAACCCATAAGTGCCGAGGAATTCTACTATTCCCCTGCTGTTGCCCCTCCCCCCTTCTGCTATTCCCCTACTGCTTCCCCCTCCCCCCTTCTGCTATTCCCCTGATGCTGCCCCTCCCCCCTGCTGCTATTCCCCTGCTGCCGCTCCCCCCTGCTGCTATGGTTTGGTGGTTTTTGCATAATTTAAGTTCAATTATGTTGGCATCTAGGCTACCAAAAACAGACCACTAACTACCAATTCTATTTGGCATCTAGGCTAGAATATGTTATTTGGCATCTACCACTAATTTAATGCTTGGTTTATGAAATGATTATCCTGCTCTTGTTTAAGTTTCCAAAACTACTTTACACAGAATTAATCATACACACACGCACACACATATTTAGAATTTTTTTTTTTCAAAAATGGAGAAGAAATGATGTCTCTATGTTAAATGTTTGATTAGTGATTTTTGGAAGCTTATGATTGCTGTGTTGCTAAAGTCCTGTCCTGCATCAGTTCATTTACAAAAGTTATATGGGTGCTTTGGTAATGGATATAGACCTAAGATGCTGTGACAAGTGTTAAGAATATATAAATGAGCAAAATTTAGTTTTAATCTGCTTGGCTATATGTCTGACATGGACTTTTCCTAAGATACTTAGAAAGATTAAAGATTGCTAGTGTAATGGATATACAATGTTTTAGACTTGAAAATAAATAAGGTCATACTCATATGATACATGGACAGGTAGCTAAACTAGCCTTTCAGATTAATCAGATTAGGCTTGCTGGCTTTTCAGTGAGTTAATTTAATGAATTAGTGAGTTAATTTATTATGCATTTTAAAGATATGTTATGTTCTTAACTTTTTTTTTTTTTTTTTTTTTTTTTTTTTTTTTTTTTATTTCCAACAGTCTGGCTTAACTTAGTCCTATTGATAATCCCCTAAGATTTTATGACCATATGTCAGATTATATTATTTAATTATTATCCTGCATTTTCATCAAAATTGGTTTATGACCATCTGAGCCTTCACTTAAATTTTCAGTGAAATTATTGAACTATCTAGTTGACTTTAATATTTGTTATTTGATTAACTAGAGATTGATATAAATATTGTTTTGCCATTTATCAGGTTCAATTGCCATTTATTTTCTGTGTTTCTTGTACAATGCCTCGACTTATGCGTTCTATAAGGAAGAAAAAGCTAATAAGGGGGGTTCAAATAAAAGATAGGAAAAGAAACAAAAAATTGTTACGGATGTTAGTATTGAGAGGGCTTTATAAGGAGAGTGATGTGAAATGCAAGAGTGAGCTTCGCGTTAATAGAAGAACTTTCAATATTATTTGTGAGATGCTTAGAGACATTGGGGGTTTGAGTGGAACAAAAAACATGTCGCTTCAAGAGATAGTAGCCATGTTTTTATACACTTTGGCTCATCATAAGAAGAATAGGTCTACTGGACATTACTTCTATAGAAGTGGAGAAACCGTGAGCCGACAATTTCACCTTTGTCTAAGGGCTTTTCTCAAGTTGCATGAAGTACTACTTTACAATCCCACACCAATATCGGATGATTGTGAAGATGAAAGGTGGAAATCCTTCAAGGTATTGGTATTTTCAAAGCCCCTAAATTTTCAGTGCCATAGTAGTCCATCTGTGTAGCATATACTGCTCAGGATTGGTTTCAAACCTTTTTGCTTTCCAAACCCAAATCATATGTCTACATGGAATTCCTTGTCTATAAAACAACTTGCAAGAACATGTGGTGTCAAAGTTAGTTGGATTAAACACAACATCAAATGTTCTAATCCGATTTCCTTCACTTACTTTTACAACTTCCAATCCATTTTCTTTCTTCAATTCATCAACACCACATGAAAAACAAGCAATTTCAACCTCATATTGAAATTCATAAAAGACAGAGTTAGTATATAAATGTGAGGCATGCTTTTCTATCCCTAGTGGTGTTTTGCACTCAGGATATTTGTGCTTTGAATCATTATCATTCTGACCTTGAGTGTGTCTCTGGGCATCAATTGCAGCTTCATATCTCAAGTAAAACTCAACAAGTGACACATGAGGATTGATAAAGGAGCAAAAAAAGTTGTTTTCGCTTTCGGATCTTGATGTTGTACGCATTATTCCTCCGAGGAACACATCTCTGAAATACGCCGGAATCCACTTGTTCCTTATCTTGTACATATAACCTAACCACTCATGTTCTTCCAAGTGGTATTCAACCATCACCTTGTTCCACCTTTCTTCAAACTCAGCAGGTTCAATTTCAAGATGCCAAACACAAGCACATAATTTTTTTAGGAAATCAGTTTCTTCTTGCATGATTGATTTCTCCACCTTATCTGGTAACTTTTTCATTATGTGTCACATACAGAAGCGATGTTCAGTCTTGTTAAACACACTTTTAACAGCAATTTTCATTGCTGGATCTTGATCTGTAATCATACAATTCGGTTCATTTCCACCCATTGCCTTGAGAAATGATCTGAACAACCACTTAAATGACACTATATCTTCCTTTGCTATGAAACCAGCAGCAAAAGTAATGCAACTCTTATGATGGTCAACCCCTGTAAATGGAGTAAACACCATGTTGTACTTGTTTACACATACAGATTAAATTTTAAATGATCAAATAACTACACACACACATAAATACACAGACACACGTACTTAGACACAGACACACACACGCACACACACATATACACATACATACACGCACTCACAATCTGTGATAGAATCTGAATTCAGATTATGAAATCAGAATTGTCATCGGCTACTGAAATAATTCAATGCTCATTTGACAAATGGGCAAATAATTGATTGTTCATTTGTCAAATGAGCTTATAACTCAATGCTAATTTGTGAAATAAGCAAACAATTGTTTGCTTTTTTGTCAAATGAGCAAATAATTGAATGCACATTTCTGAAATGAGCAAATAAGTCAATGCTCATTTGTGAAATAAACAAACAGTTATACTAAGTTCATTTAAAACAAAGTTATTAATTTAAGCTATAGTTATAACATAAAAATGATTTGTGATTTTTATGAATTACCTATTGGTTTGGTATGTGGTATCAAAGGATACCATATCAACAAATAGAGCGTAACTCTTTTTACAAAGGGGATCAACCCATAATGCTCTACAAAGGCAATAATCATCATCCATCTCAAAATCAAAGAAAAAAGCGCTCCACATTGGTAAAGTTATCCACGAACATTTGAGCATCACTTCCTTGAATGTATGCTTTCAAATCTCTATGAAATTTTTTGAAATCTTGCTTAGATGCACCGATGTTATCATATCCTCCAACAATTTCCTTCGTCATTCGAAAAGTTGTAACAGGACCAATATTCACCTATTTAAAGAACAAAACAGTTTGTCAAATGAGCAAATAATTTAATGCTCATTTTTCAAATGAGCATACTACTTTTATTAGAACATACAGATAATTCATGAAACATAAGAGGCTTTGAAAGTCGTACCTTAGAATTATTCACAATTTTTTTTTTGTGCAATATGTTCATTTTTCTTCCTTCTTTTTGGAAGAGATTGCAACTAGGTGTATAAAGTGGATGAGTATGTCCCTCATGAAATTGTGACACTATGAATTTTTTATCATCACAATGCTTTATGATAATATGTGCCTTGCACCCATTACGAGTAACGAGTCTCTTCCTTTTGATTGAAGTTTTTTCTTCATTGCTTTCTCCTTCGTTGTTATTTAAATCTTTTTCAACAGTAGGCTTTCTTTTCTCTTTGTATCCTTCTTTATTGCATAAGATATACCGTGATTTCAATTCTTTGCTTCTTCTTTGCCTTTTAGTTGTAGATTTTCTTGTGTTGAATCCAGCAGCAAATGCGTATCTTTTATAAAATTCAAGGCCCTCTTCAAGATTATTAAACTTCATCCCTATAGCTGGTTTCAACTCATTGGGGTATATTGGAAGCCATTCTTTTGTTCCTCCAGGAGTGAGCAAAGGTGCTACTTTAGGAGAAACTACTATTGTAGGAGTAGTTGCCACATTTGTGATGGTACTAGAATGACTGTCAAGTTCTTCATTGCTGCTCATCATTTCTGAAATCAGATTCAGAATTCAGAATTGCAAACAGAAAGATGAGGGGGGGGGGGGGGAATAGGTTTGTATAAGTAAGTGTAAGAAGGGAATGTGGTTGGTGTGCAGGAAATAGACCAAGAAGAAGGGGGGTGGGGCTTGTGTGCAGGCAAGAAAACCAAGGAACTCAATGATTTGATATCAGAAATGATGATTTGAAAAGGAGTAAAAGTTGATAATGCTACCCTTCAATATGTTTGCAAAACCTAGCATATATAGCATTCAGTATAGCATATTTGCCAGCAAAAACCATACATTCTTAGACACACACACACACACTCTAACACATGCACTCTTACACTCACTTACACACACACACACATACACACGGTAATTTCAGATTATCACAGCACACAGAAGTGCTCAATCTAAGAAGCACAACCACTTGCTCATTTGATAAATGAGCAACTAAATATTTGCTCATTAGCTACAGCTACCTCTTTCACTTTCACTGCTTCTGCAACTCATGTTAATGAGCTGAATCCCATTTTTCACCCTCTTTCTTACACTGTACAATTACCACCACCACCAAACTCTCTCTCCTTCCTACCTTACCACCACCAATATCACCACCACAACCTGTCGCACTCTCACTCCCTCGCCGCCACCCCTGTCCCCTGCACCCTACCACCACCATAATTACCAACTTATTTTGCTCATTTGCTCCTTTTTATATTTGCTCAATTTAATTATGTTTGCTCATTATATGTTTTTTATATTATTACCAATATTTAGGTTTGCTCATTTTCAATTCATTTGCTCATTTTAAATTTGATTGCAAATTTTCAATTTCTATCAAATTAATCAAACCTAAATTTTTGATTTAATTCAAAATATTTCAAAGAAGTAAATTCAATCAAATCCATAATTGATGCAATTAAACAAGCAATTCAATGAGAACAGAACAAACCTCAAAAATCGAAAATTCTCATGCAATTCAATAACCTGGTGATTGATGCAATTAAATATGCAAATTAATAAGAACAGAACAAACTAAAAAATCAAAAATTATCATTCAATTAACATGCAATTCACCTTGCGAATTTGATTTGTAGCAGCGATGGAAATGTGATTAGTAATTGATGATTTGTAGCGCAAGGCGAGCAAAGTCGGTGTGAACTTGCTTATGATTAATTTGATGAAGCAATTGATGAAGCAATTTGAAGAAATGAGAAACAACGTTACTGATTAGCCGCCATTGATGAAGCTTCGTGGTGGAGAGAGAAGTTAGTTAGCTAGGTGGAGAGAGAAGTTAGTTAGCTAGGTGGAGAGAGATGACAATTAGGTGGTGTATTTACTGATTTTTCCATTACTATGCGCTTTTTCATCCGTCAGATCTATTTAGTTCAAGGGCCCAAATTTGGTCTCATATAAGAGATGGTCTCATATAGGGGGATGGTCTCACGGGATCCCGAATATATATATATATATATATATATATATATATATATATATATATTATGGTAATTAGTGTTGCTCTACATTGTATAATGTATATCAAAAGTTAGCCAAGACATCAAAAATTAGAAGGAAAGCTATTTGTTTCCAAGTTATCTATGCCAAACAAGAGGAAATGGATTAGTTATAATTGTTTACGTTTCCTTAGTAATACCAAACAACTAGTAAGGGTAACACTATATGTTACCCTTTCCCCTCCTAATTTGTTTCCATTCCCTTACATTTACTAATTTGATACCAAACACCCCCTTAAATGTTTACCCTACTCATCGGAATGGGCCTAAATAAGTAATTGATCAAATCAACAAATCTTATAAAAATGATTGGCCTTTCAAAAATTACTAGGCAAGCCGAGCATGACTTCATGGCGGATTTTATGTATGTCTAAAACCCGACTGCGCAAGCCCATCTTGATCACCACTAGGTTTAACATGATTTTTGGGTATATTTTAATTAGGGCATATGCAAATGCTAATTAGAGCTTTAGAGGCATTATAGTGGCAAAGAATACTTAGGGCCTGCTCACATTTACCGAAAGGAGCTGAATTGAACTGAACTGAACTGAATGAAGCTGAATTGAATTGAACTGAGAAGAGGTGAAATGAATATTTATGAGAGAAGGAAATTAAGAGTTAAACTGAACTTAACTTAACTGAACTGATTGAAGCTAAACTAAACTGAACTGAATAGAAATTAAGCTGAAGTGAATAGCCCCTTTATTAGATGATTTATGTAGTCAAACCGGCCTCTAACTTTATGCTTTTTTTTGGTCAAAACTCTAATTACCAAACTTGACCTCTATATTGATTGGACATTAAAGGGGTTGTTGCCGTACTGGTTCATATTGAATCGACATGTTGTACTCCGTACTTCACTATGGTATTTTTTCTTCCTAATTTTGTATAGATGAACTTAAATTAATTGCAATTTTTATACAGAAAAAGATTCTAATGTATAATCTAGTTCTCGAAGTAGAAATACTCGGTGTACAAAGAGAGACAAAAATTTGTGCCGAGTACTACAAAAAAAAAAAAAAAATAATCAAATTGATAAAGAAAAATACAGCTTTGACATTATATAAGCACAAGTACTACATTTATTCCTACAGACAATGCAAGAATGATAACATAAATCCGTATCATTATACTTAAATATTTTTTGACTTCTATAGTTAAACTTAAAACTAAATAACGATCATTATCACGATTCTTGATCTTATATATCATGCATGACCAGCATCCAAGATGGTAGAGACATCAACGACAGCCCCCAACTCGAATTTGAGCGCTTGAAGATCTTTATCAAAGACGACATTCTCTTGGAGGCACCGCGAAACCTTAGCAATAACGAACCTTAAAACACCAGAACTCACGCCGTAAGCAGGCAAACTCTTCTTACAAGTCCTTAGGGCATTAGTAATGTAACTTTCAACCATATCGGGATTTTCGGGTTTAATCACAAAAGACGCCTCGAAAACTTTGTTGTTGAATGGCTCCTTCCACAAGGTGTTGCGGTCTTCTTGGGTAAGGCATTCTGGATTTAGGCAGACCTCACACCAACGGCGAAAGAGAAGAAAGACACGGATCTCATGAGTATCGGTTTTAGACGAGGCTACTCGTTTGATGGGGTTAAGGGTTATGGAGCAAGCTTTGAATTCATCTTTGTTAGGCTTCAAATTTGAAGGTTGTTGGGTTTTGATCATCTCCATTGTTGAACTTGTTTGCCGGAAATAGAGTAAAATTTTTAAGGCTACTTTCTTTATTTTTATTTGGTTTTTTTGGTGGATGAAGGTAATTAAGAAACAATGAATGTAAACGCTTTTAATAAGAGGAGTATTTAATTATTTATAAGGGGACTATTTTATTCTTGCACACCAAGGAAAAGTGATGAGTATTTGATTTGAATTTGGATTTGATAAAAAAATTTACTCGTAATTATTTCCATTATTGTTTGTGTGTCATAATAAAATGTGGAAAGTATCTTATCTCTAATAACAATGAATTTTTTTTTTTAGTTTTTTTCTTGTATGTTTAATTCCATATAATTAATTTGGTAAGTTTATTAGTTTAGTGTAATGTCTATGTGATAAACTTAACACTAAAATTTTTACTTAAAAGGCAAAAATAATACAAGTTGAAATTAATAGAGTTAAATAGTAAAAAGTCACCTACAAATTGTTATGTGTGTCATGTGGTATTACCCCTTTTAACCAATCAAAATTGTGATTGTTTAGAAAAAAAATGATTCAAAACTCCCCTTCCCCTTTGAGAGGACTAT